GGACAAGGACTAGAAGGCAGAAGGGGACAGGAAAGCTGGTGATAGGGAACCCAAGGTTGAGTAAAGACAGTGTTGACATGTAGTGGGGTTGTTAACCATTGTCATAGGGCAACATGTGTACTAACTGTTTAATGAGAAACTATTTTGTTCTGTAAGCCTTCATCTAAAGTGAGAATAGCAGCACAACTGGAAGAGCGTAGTTGATGTCACTGAACTGTGCATGCAGAAATTTTTGAAATAGTGTTATCTTTGGCTATGTATATTTTCACCAAAAAAAAAAAGGTCGAGAAGAGAGAGGATTGACATGTCATGGGGTTGTTAACCAATGTCATAAAACAATATGTGTACTGACTGTTTAATGAGAAACTATTTGTTCTGTAAACCTTCACCTAAAGTACAATTAGAAAAAAAAAACTTCAAAAAAAAAAGAAATTATTTTTCAGATGAGGAAACTGAAGCTACAAGACTTGCTTAAGCTCACAGAACTAGTTAGTGACAGAGCAGGTCTGTTGACACTCAATTTTTGTTTCCACTGCACTTTAAAAAAAAAAAAAACTGGTATCATTAAGAGAGTGAGTGTTCTGTATTTAAATTCTGGGAGCCTAAAAAGCAGATTTAAGTTCCAAAATTGGATCCTCCTTTGGCCTTAACGAGGATTTAAAAAAAAAAAGTCAAAATTTAGATTTGCACCAGCCAATAAGTTCAGGATTTTCAACAGGATCCATGCACCTGCTCTCAACTTTTGGGATGTGTATATTTTTTAATTTTATTGTGCTTTAGGTGAAAGTTTAAAGGTCAAGTTAATTTCTCGATCAAAATTTACACACATATTGTTTTGTGACATTGGTTGCCATCCTGACAATGTGACAGCATGTTCCCGCTTTCCATGCCGAGTTTCCTGTATCCATTCATTCACTTCCTGTCCTTTCCTGCCTTCTCGTCTTGCTTTTGGGCAGAAGTTGCCCATCTGGTCTCGTGTAAGAATACGGAATGCTTCACAAAGTTGCGTGTCATCCTTGCACAGGGGCCATGCTAATTTTCTCTGCGTTGTTCCAATTTCAGTATATGTGCTGTTGAAGGGAGCACAACTTCTGGGATATTCTGAAGGAAAACTAACAACTGAAGTTAGGTCATTATTTTCAAAAGTACAATTCTTAACACCCAAAAGTGATTTGGTAGAAGCAAAATATACAACACAATTTTTTTTTTAATTTACTCTTGGAAATGAAAATGATTTTAAAATACAGCATACCATGAAGACTATAAGTTGTTTTCAATAAAGTTAGAATCTAAGATAACAAAAGGAGATATTGAGTTTTTTTTAATCTATGTATCCTAGTGTAACAAAGAAAGTCTATATTTTTTCACTTATACTTGATGATAGAAAATACAGGAAAATCCACTGCCACAAGATTGGTCAATTCAGAGTTGTTAGAGGCTAATGAAACCAATTATGAGTCTACCAAATGAGTTAGCAAGTACATATGTAATAAATTAGATATGTAATTTAGAAGTTAGTTGCTGTGCAGTTGGTCCCTGACTCATGGGATCCCATGCACAATGGAATGAAACACTGACCAGTCCTTTGCCATCTCCATGATCTATTGTGGATTGGATCACTGTAGTCCACAGGGTTTTCCCTGTCTGGTTTTTGGAAGTAGATATACAGGACTTTCTTCCTAGTCTGTCTTAGTCTGGAAGCCCCACTGAAACCTGTTTAGCATCATAGCAGACAGGTGGTGGCTGTGCATGAGGTGCATTGGCCAGGAATCGAGATTGGGTCTCCCACACGGAAGGTGAGAATTCCACCACTGAACCACCAATGTATATATATATATATGTTTGTATATATGTGTGTGTATACATATACAGTATATGCACACATGTGTATACACACATATACATACTATAATTTGATTTTTGTAAACATTTTTTTTCACATAGTAAAATACGTAAAGCCATATGAAACAGAAGTGTTTTGTTTTCCTGAGGAGTAGGATTATGGATGTTTTCTTATCTTTTTTTTTGTTGTGGTTGTTGTTCAACTGTACTTTCTGACTTTCGTAGACTTAGTATTTGTTACTTACATAATAAAAATAACAATAAAGGGTGAGAGGAGGGAAGCAGTGCAAAACATATTCCAAGCTAATTTAGACCCGCTTTCTGGGTTACCCAAAAATGTCCATTAGCCATGGAGGAGAGTTGGCTGTGATGTTAGGAACCTGCCTTCTTAAGGTATGCTTCTTGTTCTTGTTGTGGATTCTTTTCATTTACAGCAGAGTGTGGAAACTACTGCCTGGGGCCAAATCTGGCCTGTAACCCATTTTTGTAAATAAAGTATTATTTACACAAACAGAGATATGCTAATTTGTTTACGTATTATCTATGTCTTCTTTTGTGCTACACAATAGAGACACACACAGAGAGACTGTACGTGGCCTGCAAAGTGTGAAATATTTACTATCTGGCCCTTTATAGAAAAGGTTTGTTGGTTCCTGATCCAGAGCATTTCTCAGGGCAAAGGACTTCTAGAATATCCTCATATTCAATACAGAGCCTATTATCTTCCATTGTTGAAAAGCTGTGGTTTATGACATTGTCAAAATCCAGAACACATCATTAAGCCCTTTAGCCTCATAATTTTCAATAACATGGTTTCAAAGAAGTTCAATTCATGTATGTCTGATGCAATCAAATTTAATTGAGCTAATGGTGCTTTTGGAAGATTTGTTTAATGTTCAAAGAAAGCACCCATCTCATTCCCAAATCATGGAAGTTGTGCTTATGCTGGAGAGAATAAACTTAAAAACCCTGAAAAAAAAATGAGTTATAATTAAACTCAGGATCAACATGATAGAATACATATGAGCTCTTTTGCTCTCTTAAGAAAAAAGAATGGCAGTTTAAGTGAGGATTGGACCTGATAAAGTTGGCTTAGGACTGTATTTTAAAATTTCTGTGGTACCAGGTTTTGTTCTCTACACCAAACTATGCCCCTCAATCACGTTTCTTCCCTACTTTTTATTTAGCTTGGGCATTAATGTTAATAAAACAATGTATGTCAAAGTATTCACTTACAATACACCTGTTCTCCTCAATAAGTATAATAGCCCTTGAAATTCAGAGTAGACAACCAGAGAGAAGCAACCACAGATATATTGATCACAAAGCCAGACTCTGAGCATCTTAATCAAATTTGACAAACATGCATTTCACCAACCTGTGTTAAATCTCCTGGGGAGTCAACTGAAAGACTAGCTGAGCACTCATGAAGCCCCCAGTGTGACTCATTTTGGGGTCTATAGCTTACCATTCCCTTACGGTACACACGAGACCTCCCTGAAACACCAGAACCTCTTGCTCTCCACTGCTCTTCTTTTCATGGTTTTCCTGTGTCATAAGTATTTTCTTACCAAATCAGGGAAATGTTTCCCCTGTTGAGAGGAAGGTTTAGTGTTTGTGTTAATCTCCTACAATTATCTGTTAGCCATTGTATAACCCCTCACCCCCAAAATAGCCCCCAATTAATCAACTGCAAAAATAAGAAGACTATGAAAGAAATTACAGGATTATTTCCATGGAATTTTTAAGGTAGAACCATGAGCAGAGTTCTTATAGTTTAGAAAATTAGGAATTAATGTGAAATCATTAATAATAATAATATCAACAGATTAGCATTGACCTAAGCAGTTGACATGAATTATCTCATATATTCCTTTCAATAATGTTATGGGGAAATTTCTATTACTATATTCATTTTTCAAAAGCTCAGGAAGGTTAAATCACTTACTCAAGAGCATAAGAGCCAGGTAAAGGTAGAGCAGGGATTTGCAGCCAGGTCTATCTGAGGCATTGCCTATGTCTTCCTGTCTCCCAGCTCTCCTCCTTACACACCTCTATGTGTTTCCCACAAATAAGTGCCTGTTCGTTTAGGGGCAATCTTAAAACTACCTGACAACTGAAGTAGCCTGATAGGTCTCAGGTAAGTTAACAAAATATAGCTAAAATTTTTAGCTTTAGTTTAGTGAGCAGAGGAGGACGAGCCAGAGAGAACTGATCCCAAGCATACTTGATGGCACCAGGGGGATTCCTAGAAACAGCTGGGAGACATTTTGGAGGGGGGCGATTCCCAGCAATCAGACCATTGTGGACTATGCTGGAGAAACAACAAAAAGAAAAAAAGGAAATGTAACTTATTTCGTAATCGCAGACTGTTGAGACCTAGGATTTATGTGTCACATGAGGTAAAAGAATGTTTAGAAATATCCTGGTCTTTAACAAATACTTCTGGGGCTGCAAAGGCAAGCCTAGGGCAGCCTTCCCCTGACTTCTCCCAGGCCCAGGAGTGGACCCGTCCACACATGGTCATTGTGTCCTCTGTTATACAGGGAGGCAAGTTAACTAATAGGATAAAAATGGAGATGTACTTCCAAATAAAGCCCTGTCCCTCTTCCCCATACCCATGTAGTGACCTGTCTACTGCTACCTATTATGGGGTTAAAAAAAGGAAATATCCTCCATAGAGACTTGCTGTTATAGTGCAAACTTGCCCCCTTGATTCTATGCCCCTTCCCCAGGACATCTCCTCACAGAGGATCATAAAAACTTTCACTACACTCAACACAATGAGTATAAGAAAGTTTTATTACTGCATGAGAAGCCTGGCTACAAATGCCATGTGATATTATGTTGATATGTTTCATTAATTTAGTTAATATTTATACAGCACCTCTTTGTACTAGGTGCGGTGTTAGAGGACCAGGAGATTTTACATGGCAGTATGGGATCATAATACAATTTACTGCTACCTGCTGCTGTCAGGTTGATTCCCACGTGTGCAGAGTACATACACTCCATAGGGATTTCAAGGCAGCGAATTTATGGAAGAATATTGCCAGGCCTTTCTTCCAAGGCACCTCTGGGTGAGTTTGAACCACCAACCTTCCTACTAGTAGTCAAGCACTTAACCATCTGCACCACGCAGGGACTCCTTCATGATACAGTACAGGCCATACAAAGATTGAAAGAACAATGAATGTTACCAGTTTCCTGAGGGAAACTGATTTCGACTCATACATTGAATGTCTAAGTGTTATGAACACAGAAAAGGAGCCAGGGAGAGCAAATGAATGGCATATAACTTTGTCTGTGGATATTTTACTTTTATCCTAGGCTAAAGTCAAGTCAAAATTTTTTCCCTTTGTGTAAAGAAACCTGAAAATCAAAGTGGATGTTATTTTTAAATATGGTTTTGTAAAATAAAAAAACACTGTTGGAGGAAATAATGTTTCTGTTGATCCTTCATTTTCTGTTAGAACTTCATACAAGGAGAGATGTACCTTAAATGTAAGGGATGTGTATTAAATGTGACAGATTTAAAAGACATGATTTAATTTTCCATGAGCTTTAGATATCTCAGAGTAAAGACTAATTGAATAACCCATTAGATAACCTCTCTCAAATGTGAGCTATTTTAAAAATACTTTGGTGAGTATTCTATAATGGCCAAATAACTTGTTTGTCTAAATATATGTATGCATATATACACCTGATATACCTAGTACAAGAAAGGTAAAGATGTAATCTAACTGTGAAGATTTGGAGACTGGTTTCATTTGCTCAGAGGGGCTCCTACTTACTGGTCAACATGGGCCTTGACCATAAGAGTAACATGTATATACCAAAAAAAAAAAAAAAAACAACCAAACCCACTGCCGTTGAGTCAATTCCAACTCATGGTGACCCTATGGGACAGAGTAAACTGGTCCCATAGGGCTTCCAAGGGGTAGCTGGTGGATTCAAATGGCCGACATTTTGGTTAGCACCCGAGCTCTTAACCACTGTGCCACCAGGGCTCCAACGTGTATATAGAACTCATATATGTCTTAGGAGGAAAAAAAAAAAAAAACTTTGTTTTTATTCTAGCAATTGAATGATTATTATTTGGACCCCAAATTCTGTTATGAATGGAACCTAAAAAAGTATGTTTGGCTGCATGATAATGGTTAATTGTTTCAGCTATTAAAAACAAACTAAATAAATATGCAAAACCAAAATCCTCAGTTTGGTCCCTGTGGAACACTTAA